AAAGGACAGTAGCTGCTGGAGCAGGAGATACTGGAGGAGAGAGAGATGAGGGTGCACCATGAATACACAAAAGGAAACATATGAGGATCCAAAAAGAGGACTCATGAAGAGAAATGTGAAGAGATACATTTTGAAAAATGTAAAGGAGGAGATGTGGTAGGGAACATTGCTGGGGAGATGGCTCGTGACGCAGTCTTGGAAGGACACGCTTGTTGCTGGGTTAAGGTGCCCAACGGAGGATGATCCACACCAGGCTAGGGACACCCTGAGGGAGTGAAGCCTGCGTGTGACACATGCACCTCAGGGAAAACCCTGAGGATGAAGAGTAGAAATGGGCTAGGATGATCTTGGACAGAAGTTGAGTCTTCAGAGAGGGAAGGAAGGTATTTGGGTGTTTAATAATCTGTTTTCTTGCTCTTTCCTAAATATTTGAACAAGTAATTAAACAATTCTGTTTATTTATTTCCAATAAAATATATTATGTGAAATATCCTGAGTCAGGACTGTTTTGTCTGCAACAGTAGTGAATATAAAAGTGTCGTGAATGAAGTGCTGAATGAGAACAGTGGTGAACCAGAACAATGGTGAGCTTCGTGGGCTTTGCTCAGCACAGCCAACTGACCATCTGTACCCTGCACATTCCATTAAGGGACTTTCTTCTTCAAGTGTTCTACTGATTCACCAGAGCAAGAAATACCATTAGAAATATCATTAAGGAGGCTTATATTACAAGTTCTTCAAGTAAAGCCTGATATGTATTGCACATATGTAGCAGGTACCCAGATGGACTTCAGAGTATGATGAAGGTGTCTCACCTAGTAGGTCATTAATAACGCAAAACCCCTGAAACACACTTACAGAAAACAGAAAATACCATTCTTGAAATGGGCAAAAGTTTCCAAGTGAAAACAACATTGTTACCCATCACATTCCTTTATGTAAACAACAAAGATATTCATATCCCTGTGAAAGAGTTCACCATGCTAATTTACAGCCCTTTGAGAGAGGAAATATTGTAATTACTCCTTAGATCAAAGTCCTAAAAGGAGGAATATGTCTGCTTTGTGTCTTTGGAAAATCCCAGACTGGTCCAAGGCCTTAGAAATCTAAAAAATCTCATGTTATGATTCTGTATAACAAAGGAAATATAGATAACTTCAAATGGTAGAATTATTAAATAATGAATAATTTATTCTAAAGAAATAGGAAAATAGAATAACTCAAGAAAAACACAGTTCATTACAGCTCACTAGATCTAAATTTCTCTGCAAATGTCTTAGTCTCATAACAGGAAAATTATAACCAAAATATTCTGAGCAGAAAATATAATATATATATATTAA